GCCACTGTTCTATAAACCAAACCAGGGGGACCATCTGGTCTAAATGGATGGTAATCATAGATGATTAGGGAGCTGGAGGCTAAAACATATGACAAATGTTTGTGGGTATGTCTAGCTTAGTGAAAAGGACTAGGGTTGGTGACATGATAGCAGTGTTCCAATATTTGATGGGCTGCCACAGAGAAGAAGGGGTCAACCTATTTTTCAAAGCATCAGAAGGCAATAATAGATGGAAACTAATCAAGAAGAAAACCAGCCTAGAACTAAGGACTTGTGAAAACAACTAACCAGTGAAAAGGCTTGCCTTCAGAAGTTGTGGCTGCTTCATCACTGGAGGCTTTTAAGTAAAGATTGGATATTCCATTGTTTGGAATGGTATAGGTCAGGATTGGTGAACCTTTTAGAGACTGAGTGCCCAAACCGCAGCCCAAAACCCACTTATTTATCGCAAAGTGCCAGGGCTGCATCAACATTGTGGTGCCCTCAGGGGGGGGCATGGGGGCATGGCCCACTGGGTGGGCATGGCTGCGGTTGTCGCGGCAGACTGGGTAGGCGTGGCTGGGGTGGGCATGGCCACCTCGATGTTGCTCATGGGGGGACGCCTGTGGGGGCCGGGTATGGTTGGGGGAGATCCAGGGGGTCTCCGGCAGGTGGGGCGGTGGGCAGGAGGCCCAGCATAGGGGGAGAGGCACGCAATCCTAGGTGGGACTGGGGGGTCATGGCGCCGATGGGAATCTGGCTTTCCCTGCTTGGGGTGGCCTTTGGCTTGCTGGGTGTGGGCGTGTTCTACCACCTCTACTCAAGTTTGCTAGCTGGCTGCTTTGCCTCCTTTGTGCCTGGTGGAGCTGCCGCTTTGGGCAGTGGTGGCGGCCTAATGGACCTGCGCAAGCTGCTGGCAGTGGTAGCGTGCGTGCCCACAGAGAGGGCTCTGAGTGCCGCCTCTGGCACGCGTGCCATAGGTTCGCCACCACTGGTATAGGTCCCCTGCTTGAGCAGGGGCTTGGACTAAATTTTATTTATTTATTTATTTATTTATATTTATATTTATATCCCGCCCTTCTCCTTGCGGACTCAGGGCGGCTAACAACCAGATAAAATACAAAATATCAAACTACAGATTAAAACTTAATTAAAAGGCAAATATTAATAATTGGTCTAATTAAAATTATTTTAAAACCCCCTCTAAAAATTTTCCCCTAGGCCAGTCCCGCAAGNCTGAGGAGACCCACTCTGTGGGAGCGTACAGGTCGATGGGGGGTAATCTGCGGCAGGAGGCGGTCTCGAAGATATCCAGGTCCGATGCCATGGAGCGCTTTAAAGATGATAGTCAGCACCTTGAAGCGCACCCGGAAGGCCACCGGCAGCCAATGCAGCTCGCGCAGCAGCGGTGTTACATGGGAGCGACGAGTCCCTCCCAACACCGCCCGCGCGGCCGCATTTTGGACTAGCTGGAGTCTCCGGGTGCTCCTCAAGGGGAGCCCCATGTACAGAGCATTGCAGTAGTCCAGGCGGGAGGTGACAAGGGCATGAGTGACTGTGCGCAAGGCGTCCCGGTCCAGAAAAGGTCGCAACTGGTGAATCAGGCGTACCTGATAGAACGCCCCCCTGGTCACGGCCACCAACTGGTCATCCAGTGTCAGCCGTGGATCCAGGAGGACACCCAGATTGCGTACCCTCTCCGAGGGAGCCAGAGTTTCGCCCCCTATAGTCAGCGATGGAATCAGCTGACTATGCCGAGGCGCTGGTAGCCACAGCCACTCGGTCTTGGAAGGGTCTCTTCCAACTCTTTTTCTTTGAGAGAAGTGTTGCCAACCTCTCCCCCTCCCCTCGTCCCTTCCTGGGCACAGAGAGAAGGAGGGAGGGAGGGAGGGAGGGAGAGAGGGAAGGAAGGAAGGAAGGAAGGAAGGAAGGAAGAAAGGAAGGAAGGAAGGGAAACAGGAAGAAAGGGAAGGAAGGAGATGGGAATGAAAAGGAGGGAGGCAGGGAAGGAGGGGAGGGAGGAAGGAAGGAAAGGAGGAAAGAAGGAAGGAAAGAAAGAAAGAGAAAGAAAGAGAGGAAAGGAAGGAAGGAAAGAAGGAAGGAGATTGGAATAAGAAGGAGGGAGGGAGGGTCTGAGGGAAGTCCTGCCTTAGCACTTGGCCACCAGCAGCCCTGTTGCCTTTTCGCCATCCCCTAGTGGTCTCCCATCCTATTGCTGAGGCTGCTTTGGTTACAAAGCCAGGTCTCCTCGCATGGAGAGGGAGTGGGCTTCCCTTTGACCCATGCACTTTGTCCTCCTGCATCCACCATGAGCAACCTGGCAAGAAGAGGGAGCACAGCAGCAGCCTTGAAGAGGAGGTAAGCGCAGGTGGGCGCTTTCCTTGGGGAAGTGCAGCTAGGCTAGGCAAGGCTGTGGGGTCCTGGTGCTGTGGGAGCTCAAGGGCCGGGCTGGGCGCTTGACCTCTGCTGTCCAAGGCTCTGGGCAGTCCGTGCCACCGTCCAGGGGCCCCGTGCACAGCCTGAGGCTCCTCCAGTGGACCATGCCCCAGCGCTCGCCCCGGTTCCACCCCACCTTCTGCCGGAAACCCTCGGATCCGCCCCAGGCCCGCACAGGTGCCCCCGACGTGAGTGACGTCGAGCTGGCCACGCCCCACCCAGTAGGTCACACCCATGCCGGCCACACCCACCCGGCCCCCCAATGGCAACCACAATGCTGATGAGGCCCTCAATGAAATTGAATTTGACACCCCTGTTCTAGAGCTATGTCATTTGAAGGAAATGGTCCTTTTAGTTTAAAAGAACACTACTATACTAGATAAGGAATATCTGCACATAGTATACCACATAGGTTTGGATATTTTATATAATTTTTATGGCTTGCTAAATCATGCTCCTGGATGCTGGGAAATTCCTTGTCAGCTGCCGCTTGATTATTTTGCCTCCTCTCAGCAGAATAAACAAAATAAATTCTTTCCAAATGGAGAAAAATTGTTACCAAATGGAGAGTTGCTAACACTACTAAACAAAAGATATTATGCAGTTATTGCAATGTGCTCTCCTTAATGGATTTCAATCACAAGGAAAAAGGATGAAATAAGTAGTGGAAAAACACAGGAGGATTAAAAATGGAAAACATCATTTGGAGCATTGCATTAAATTCCATTAATGAGTCAGTGGGTCTGCACATAAAAGCCTTGTCTAGAAGCACTCTTTCTTACAGGAACTATTAAGAAGATTTCTTCAATTACAAAAGAGTGATTGGTAGATGTGCTGAAAGGCTTTCTGCTAAAAGATCTTTCACTGGTTTTAAGCATAATAGGTAGTCCTTGTTTACTGATCATAACTGAGACGGGCAACTTGTTTGTTAAGTGCAATAGTCACTAAGTGAAACTGTGTTTATAATCTTCCTTCAACTTTCCTTTGCTTTACAGACCTGCAAAGGTTACAGAGGCAAGGAGTGATTAACAAAAGTGACTTTTTCATCATTGTTGTAACTGTGAATGGTCACTGTATAAGGCAGTTGCTAAGCAAGGACTACCTATATTCAGAACATTTCAGTAGACCAGTGGTGGCGAACCTATGGCACAGGTGCCAGAGGCGGCACTCAGAGCCCTCTCTGTGGCATGCGCACCGTCGCCCCAGTCCTAGGCCTTCAGCTGGGTTTTATACAACCTATTCACTTTAGGTCTCTGCCGCCGTGTACAAAAAAAAAGGTTCAATCAATCAGTCAATTTCAACTTCTCGCGGGAGAAAAAAAAGATCTTGCAAAGTTGGAATTGATTGATTGAACTTTTTAGTCCCACCCAGTCTGCTGTACCACCGCAGCCACGCCCACCCAATGGGCCACACCCACCCGGCACCCGAGACGCATGTGGGTTTTGGGTTGCAGTTTGGGCACTCGGTCTCTAAAAGGTTCACCATCACTGCAGTAGACAATAGTATGTTCTAATACTGGCATGAATAAAGGAATGTATAGATAATAAGGTAAATACAGTTATTAGGACCAGTGTCAGGCTTCCATTGATCAGCTAGTAAAAAAACTGCTGAGATTTCCAAGGACGCAAAAGATTTATTGTAATGTCTTTATGAAAGAATTCTGTTGACTGTTGTCTATAAAATGCAAGTTCTACTTATAAAATCAAGGTTCACCTCTTTTTCCTATCCGTGCAGTATAACAGACTAGAATCCATTCATTTGGGGGCAAGTGATGAATGCAGTTTTCAGTAACAGAAGCTGTTACTTGTTGCTTGTTCCTATGCAAGAATTGTTTTTTTTTATAGCTGACCACTCCTCAATCATTATTTGAAAAACAAAAACAAACTTGAGTCTGATCTTGCACGAGCACAATACCTCTCTGCTACTTGTTAAATCAGTCCAATTTATGTGTGCCTGAAAAAAAAAAGATGTGGCTGCTTTAAGATCTTGACTCAAAAGCTATGCGTCCAAGCATTCATGTCTTCTTTTTTAGATTTGCACAGAAACCTGGAAAAAAAAAATCAGCCTTCTTTAGTGATGCCTTACATAATTAGCCAATATAGAGTGAAAACCACAGGGATTCCCAATAGTTATGCTTATTGCTAGTCAGGGCAAGAAACATAATCTTGAAAACAGTAAACTTCCCTTATTTATAGTGAGTCATTTAAGATGGAATCTCTTTGTAGCATGTTTTCCTGTATTTCTTATATCTGGGCTCTGTTGTCTCTTCTCACATAATCTGAATTTCGCCTTCCCATAGTCTCTCACAAGAAAATAGCGTTTACTTAAAATCATTTCGTATGTGTGTATAGGTTATCTGTAGCACAACTTTGTTATTTATTAGTGTATTTATTTATTCATTTGGTTAACATCCCACCATTCCTCTGGGAACTCAGGGTAGCAAATCACTTCTTCAGTCATTCCCCATAACAATACCCTTGCATTGTATATTGTATAGATTGAGTTGAGAGATATTGAATGTAGAGTAGAACATTTTAAAAGCATATAAGTTTTAATCTTAATATTTTCCTTCTCCATTTTGTTAGGACCACCGCTTTAATGACAAGATTGACAAACTGACAGGATACAAGACCAAGTCATTGCTCTGCATGCCTATAAGAAACAGCGAGGGCGAAATCATTGGAGTTGCACAAGTGATAAATAAAACTCCTGGAGGTATTCCTTTTACTGATGATGATGAAAAAGTAAGATTTTCTGCCCTTTTTGTTTGATAATATGGAAAAGATCTCGTACGTAGTACTTCTCTCAAATGTGTATGCAGAGATATATCTCTTTATGTATAGAAAAGTATTATTTTTCTATAGGATATTAATAAGCATTGCATTATTTAATTTGAATTTTGCTGGAAACCTGGTCATTCTCCCAGATCCTGGGGTAAGATGGCTGGTTTAACCACTTCACTTTTTTTGGATTAGGTATTTTTTTACTGTTATGGATTGATTTTCTGGTTAGTCTTATCTTTCTTCCTTGATTCTTACTTTATTTCATTTTATTTCCTTGTAAACTACCCAAAGTTATTGTGTAGACAGACAGCCTTAGAATTGGAATATTAAATTATAATTAAATTATTTAATAGTCAGCCATTAAGTCACTTATTTGTTGAAATTGTTCTATTCATTAACTATTACAAATCTTTATATACATAGATCAGGTATGAATGATTATAATAAAATATAGTCACCCTTTATTGAACACATTGTGTAAAATTTTAGATACCTCTGTAAGAGGCCTTCCATTATTTACTTTTTTCTTTTTCTGACCTGTTTTTTTAAATAAAGACAGCATTTACAAACAGTCAACCAATAAACTGTTCTTCTAGAGATATCTAAATTAGCCAATAACCAACATACCTCTTGACCCATTACCTCCCAAATTGTAAACCAGAGCAAGAGAAAACCATTATCTGGGTGAAGATAGCAGTGGGCAACAGCAGCCACAGGTTAAGTAGTTACTTTTTATAATATATTTTTAAAATTTAAATTCACAATTCAGGAGCAATTTTCAGTGGAATTTTGGAGCGTATACCCAGGTGCATCTAGATCAGTGGACTTCAAAGGCTCCAAGCTATCTGTCCTGGATATATCCAACACTTGATCCAGGAAATGTTATTAGAAAAGAGAAATGAAAACAGATACACATATAGAAATGAATCAGAAATAGAAATCTGGAGATATTTTAATTTTTAATGGTATATTTTGGATAGGATATGAATTTAATTTCTTAATGAATATCTTAATTAATATCAATAACCAGAGCCCACTGAAAGTATGCATATATTTATGATGACTGAAAACTTTTCCTGATATCATTGTTCTGTTGTTTCTTTCTTGAAATGAAAGCTTAATTTGGAAATAAACCAATGAAATTTGGATACACTAATTTTTTTTGCACATGTTTCATTCTACCTTTGTTTAGAGCAATTAAGTAATGGTTGTAGTAAGAACATTACAATCATAAACATTTTTTAAAATTAAAAAAATACAGTATAGTAACAACATGTAAGCATTTAGGTCCTACAAGAAACTTCTTAATAACAAATATTCAGCAGTATTGGATGAAGAGTTACTTAATGTTATTATGTTCTGAGCTAGCCTCTGAAAAATAGGGAGGGGATATTGATTTTCCATTTTTAGCATGCCACAATAATTTGTAGTGTAATTATAACAATCTCAGATTGTAATGCAGTCAGGTGTCCTGATTTTATCATTACCCATAATCTCTTCGCTCAAATTTTCAGTGATACTGGTGGATGAAATTATTAAGATTTTTTTTTTCAAATTCCATCATGATATTTTCAAGAGCTTCAAGGAATAAATAAGGAGTTGAGCATGGTTATTTTTATGGCTTCCTATCATTGTGGAGGACCAGTCCAGCAGTGGAGATCATGCTGATGCATAAAAGAAAAGCTGCAGTGGTAGTCTGAGGGATACCTTTAAAGTAATGTGTTTTGCAATTATGTGCTTTAAAAGTGGAATTAATCAATTGGTGAAAAGCTATGGAGTTACTAAGCATAAACTTCACACATTTTTACAACAGAAAGTCAGTGCTACCCTGGGTTATAAAAATTGGAGAATTGTTTGCTCTCTGTGTATGAACTGGCTCTTTATCAACATAATGGAAAGATGGATTAATATTATTTCATGTGGCTAAGCTTTAATGCATTCTTTAAAACCGAGTTTTTTATATACGAGTTTGGTCTTTATTTTTCCCTTTTGCTTATTTTTATTTTGTTTTAGATTTCCTATCTTTTAGAAGACTGACGCTATGTACACCTGTTCAAGAGGCGCATGGCTAGCTTAGTGGGTAGGAAAGTTAGGATGCTGGCTTATCAAATTTTCCGTAGTGAGAATCAAAGTCTTATAAACATTTGTGCTCTTTTTCATACAAATCAGGAAAAGGGGAATGAACATGTTGAGTAGAGAGAACATGTTTCTGTGTATTGGATGAATCAGTGCAGTTGCTTCATGCCAAAAATATCAACTCCCTGTGGTTATATTCTAATGCCAATACAGATTGCAATTAGAATAATTATATGTCGATATGTAGCTAGTCTGATCTCCGCATAGTTTGCCCCAACTTTAGAGCCCTTGTAAGCTAGAATTGGCTTACAAATGATATCAAAAAGTTTTAGGACTTCTACTGGTGACCCCCTCTTTTTCAGGTCTCTTCTCAAAGTTAGATGGACAGCATATAAATTACATTAAATAAATAAATAAAATATATCCTTTGTGACTAGTTCATGCTGTCCTCCTGACATAAATATGAATGCTATCACATGAATGCTATCTTTATTCCTGTCCAGATGTTATCACTAGGTCCCATTCATTTTAGGGGTAGAAATGCTAGGTTTATCAAATTTAGTGATTCTCCTTTCTGTCATCCAAGTTAAACCATGGTTAGTTTTGTCACACATCTGCAAATGCCTCATCAGTTATATCTAAGATTTTCAGACCTTGGAGCTCATAAACTTCCTTCCGTAGTAATCCAGGAAAGCAGTTTCCATCCTCATTCTGTCCAATTCTTGTATTTCTCTAATGAATCCCAATAAAACTCTTCAGATGCTGGCTAACATTTGACAGGCAAGATAGGAGGGGGAAAATGGAATAATCAGAATAACATCTCAAGGAGTAAATTCTTTGGACATGACATCAAAGAAAGATTTAACCTATGGCAAGATAGCATTGTAAAATGGAGGAGAAGGAAGATACTGTGTCCGAGTTAAACCAGATTTTCTGCTATGTGGACAGAATGAGCAAGCAATAAAATTGATATAAAATCTATTATGTACAAATTTGTTCTGGTGGCACAATAAAGTTGTCTCCAAAAAGTGAGAGTCAGTTTGGTCCAGTGGGTAAGGCACTAGACTAGAAAGTGGGAGACCATGAGTTCTAGTCCTGTCTTAGCCATAGAAGTCAGCTGGATGACTTTGGGCCAGTCACTCTCTTTCTAGTCCAGCCTACCTGACAGGATTGTTGTTGTTGTGAGAATATAAGAGGTGGAAAGTGTGTTGGATATGTTGGCTGCCTTGAGTTATTTATAAAAATAATGGCAGGATACAAATAAATAAAAGTTCTTTGAATATTGATAGTACTGGAAACATAACAAATTGTAAAAAACAATCCTGTTATATATTACCAGTGTTGATCTTTACTTCTAGAAAATGATTGATACAAATGAAAAAAGCATTGTAAAGAATTTTGTTCCTTAAATAATATAAGTGGGGAGAATAAACTTCAGTCTTAGATGTTACTGATGCGATACAAATGAAAAAAGCATTGTAAAGAATTTTGTTCCTTAAATAATATAAGTGGGGAGAATAAACTTCAGTCTTAGATGTTACTGATGCTGATTATGTCAGCAATTATATAGTATTTTGAAGATTAAATTCCTGTTTAGGAACTAACATCTCTTTCAAGAGGAAATAGGAAATTTAGTGATGAGCTCTTTAGTTAAGAACACACATAGATCGCTATATTTTCTCTGTGGGAATGGCTTATGAGTTGTGGGGTAACAGCACAAAGTTTACCATGTTACTCCAAAGAAAAACTGTCTGAAACTATGCCTACTTGTCCCACCAGGAATAGTTTATGGTTTAGCTGATATCTGAAAAGAATTTTTACAAAATGCTAGAATAAATGTCTCTGTTTGCTTCAGTTTTCAACATTTACAAAATGGGTATATCAAGAATGTTACCTTACCATGTGTGTTGCTTAGCTAGATGGCTCTACCTGGCTGGTCTCTGGGGTCAGTAGCTAAGCAGGACTGAGTTGGGATAGAATTTAGAGCAGGGATCTTCAAACTTGACCCTTTTATGACTTGTGGACTTCAACTCCCAGAATTCCTCAGCCACGCTGGCTGAGGAATTCTGGGAGTTGAAGTCCACAAGTCATAAAAGGGCCAAGTTTGAAGACCCCTGATTTAGAGGGAGTCTGCCAGAGAATCCCAAAACTGTAGGCTGGGTTGGGAAGCTGGAAAAAAAATCATTTAAAAAGAGAGTGGAAAGGCATTACTGTTGCTATGGTAAGAAAGTCTTGTGTGTGAAATTATCAGGAATTGGGCTCAGGACCGAGTCCCTACTTTTTACAACAAATATTTAGGCAAAGATGCTTCTGGTTTTCCCTTTCTTGAGGGAAAAATTAAGGCTTTCAAAAAAAAATATGATTTGTTCTGATCACTGTTTTTTTTTAAAAGATCTATAATGTTTTTTATTCACTTTTAACATGTTTCTTAATAGGCAAGGAAGAAGAATAAAAGATAACATCCAAGAATGGTTAATTTTTCAGAACCAATAATATATGACTAATCTCTTTGTGAATTTAATATTAGAATTTTATTGGTGATTTTTTTCAAGAAGTAAAATTGACCATACTTTAATGTGCCAACTATCAAATGATAAATTATCTGCGATTCCTCAAAAACACATAATAATCACAATTCTGCCACACATACTACTTGTTGTTTAGTTATTATTATTAGTAATTCAATTTTTTCCTCCATAAAGGAACAACTTCACAGGTTTACTGCATATGAACAGTTGTTCCTTTCTGATTACAACTTCTCCAACATTTTGATATATGATTATGAGCTGTTTGTACTATTCTAATTGAAGTTAAATGCCAACAATGTACTATCTTCCACTGCATCTTTTGTATGGACAATGATAGAGAATAATTTCATTTTTTGAATTTGTTTTCCTAAATTAATATGACAAGATTTGTTTAAAACTCCTGCAGGGTTCACCTAATTCTAATTCCAATAATTGAGATTGTTCTTTTAGATTGGGAACAATAATTGGTTAGTCATTTGTGAAAGATAGCCTAAAACCAAGATGCTGATTCCTTTATATCAGGGGTGTCAAACTGCCGGCCCGTGGGCCGGTTTCATCATACCGGAGCCGCACCCACCCCATTGCCAGCAATGGCGAAAAAGCTCCAATACGTCGCGCGACGTCACGTGACGTCACGAGTTTGACATGCCTGCTTTATATCCTTCCTATTAAGAAAAATTTAAGATAGAGTCATTTGAGCAAAGACAGATGGCAACCTATTTGTAATTCAATCTCTACTGTGTAGTGCCTTCTTATTATAGAAGTTACTGACTCTGCCAATTGACTCCAAGGCTTTGGTTATGTTGACTGATCTTGATTATAGAATTCTTAATATACCAGTAAAGATATTGAGAGATAAATTAATAAATTGTAAATTATATAGTATTGTATAACATTATACGATTAAAATGCCAATAATGAGTAAATGAGATCTGTTTGTCCAAATGAAATCTCAAAATTAAATGTGTACTGATACAATCTCTAACTGGACTGATTCAAATATACTTTTGGAACCAAAATATAATTTATTGCTTTGCCTACCCTAATAATATACTATTTTATAGAAATTTTCTGTCTAACCTGTGATTAACCTGTGATAGATTAAATTAGTAGACAAAAAAACTTTTAAGATAGTGTTCAGGAAGCAGTCTTTGTTGTGCCGTGTATCCAGTTAAATTAGTATTTTATCTAATTCTCAAATTATTTCTTCTCTTCTTCACTTGAACATTAGTCAAGTCCAGTCTAATATCTGTAATATCTTTTTGCACTTTTCCTGTTTCAAGGAAATTCCATTGTATATTTTAATTGAGTAGATGATTCTTTTAGCTGTTTGTTGACTTGTTCCAATGTACCTCCCATATGCTCTTGGATTGTATTAGCTACTTCATTCCATTTTACCTTCAGTTCTTGTTTTAGTTGCTCAAAGCATTGATTGGACAGTGCTCAATTTTTTCCTCCTGTGTGGAACTATATCCTCCTCTTCCATTTCTTATTTATTGCTAGAATGGGGTGTACTTTCAGCCTTTTGGGGAATCATCTTTCTTAAACATCTTTTATTAGTTATCTTGCCAACTGGATGTCATTTTTTGTGCATGTGGCTCTAAGTCAGTGATTCCTGGCAATTACCTGGATTAGTCCCTGCTGTTTTCTTGGCAAGGTTTTCAGAGGTGGCTTGTTATGACCCACTTCTGAGGTATAAGAAAGAATGACTGGCCAAGGCTTTGTGCCTAAGGGAGGACTAGAACTCACTATCTCCCAGTTTGTAGCCTGATGCCTTAGCCATTATACTAGACTGGCTCCCTAATAGTCAAATACAGAAACATAACTTATCAAAAGAGCTGGGTCTGAAAGAGATCAATTTGTTCAATACACCATCTTCTCTGGTGGCTAGCCACACACACCTGTCCCTCTTGTTTTATAATGATTGTTTTATATTCTTACAGATAATTGCAGATAATTATTCCTACAGATAAGTATCTTCTTGAGATAATTCATGAATAACTGAAATGTTTTGAATTTATTCAATTTAACAAAAACTAAACAACAGTCTAAAAAGCAACTGTGTATAGATCAGCCATCTACATAACAGTAGTAGTAGCACTTAGACTTATATATTGCTCCATAGTATTTTACAGCATTCTCTGAGCTGTTTAAAATGTTAGCATATTATCTGTCCCCAACAGTCTGGGTCCTCTTTTTACTGACCTCAGAAGGATGGAAGGCTGAGTCAACCTTGAATCGGTCAGGATTGAACTCCTGGCAATGGGCAGAGTCAGCCTGCAATACTCCTATGCATAGTTATGTATAGTAAAATATATTTGGCATAATATTACATAAAATCTAGAGCTCTATCACCACAGCTCATGGATACAGTTCAACACAAATAGTTTAAAGACGGATGCATTCAAAATAAGACATTAATGTAATATTTAC